CAATCCCATTTACCATCGCAGCAAAAAAAAATTAAGATACATACTAATAAACTTAACCAAAGAAGTAAATGACCTATTTTCAGAAAACTACAGGACATTGAAAAAAGAAATAGAGGAAGATATAAAAAAGTGGAAGCACATACCTTGTTCATGGATTAGAAGAATTAACATCATTAAAATGTCCATACTACCCAATGCAATCTATAGATTCAATGCAATCCCCATCAAAATACCAACAGCACATTTCACAGAACTAGAACAGATACTTCAAACGTTCAAAAAAGACCCCAAATAGCGACCACAATTTTGAAAAAGAAGGACAAAGTAGGTGGGATCACAAAACCAGATATCAGGTTATACTACAAAGCGACTGTAATCAAAACAGCCTGGTACTGGCACAAGAACAGGCATATAGACTAGTGGAACAGAACTGAGAACGCAGAAATGGACCCAAGGCAATATGCTCAATTAATATTTGACAAAGTTGGCAAGAGCATACCGTGGAGTAAAGGCAGCCTCTTTAATAAATGGTGTTGAGAACATTGGACAGCTACATGTAAAAAAATGAAACTAGACTATCAACTTACACAGAAATAAACTCAAAATAAATAAAAGACTTAAATGTGACCCATGAATCCATAAAAATTCTAGAAGAAACTGTAGTCAACAAAATTTCGGACATCATGCGCAGCAGAATTTTCACTGATACATCACCTAAGGCAACAGAAACAAAGGAAAAAATGAACACATGGAACTACATCAAACTAAAAAACTTCTGCACAGCAAAAGAAATAATCATCAAAATGGAAAGTCAACCCACTGTATGGGAGAACATCATTGCCAATGATATATCAGATAAGGGGTTAATTTCCAGTATATAAAGAGTGCTCATACAACTCAACAAAAGGAAAACAAAGAATCTAATTAAAAATGGGCAGAGGAGCTGAATAGACACCTGTCCAAACAGGACATACAAACGGCCAAGAGACAAATGAAGAAATGCTCAACATCACTAATCATCAGAGAGATGCAAATTAAAACAACAATGAGGTATCACCTCACACCTGTCTGAATGGCCACCATCAACAAATTATCAAACAACAAGTGTTGGCGACGGTGTGGAGATAAGGGGACTCTAATACACTGCTGGTGGGAATGCAGACTGGTGCAGCCACTATTGAAAACAATATAGTGTTACCTCAAAAAATTAAAAATTGAACTGTCATTTGACCCAGTGATCCCACTTCTAGGAATATATGCTAAGAAGCCTGAAACACCAATCAAGAAGAATATATGTACCCCCATGTTCATAGCAGCACTATTTACAATAGCTAAGATCTGGAAACAGCCCAAGTGTCCATCAGTAGACGAATGGATAAAAAAGCAGTGATATATATACACAATGGAGTACTATGCAGCTGTAAGAAAGAAAGATCTCTTATCCTTTGAGACGACATGGAGGGACCTGGAAAGTATTATCCTAAGTGAAATAAGCCAAGCAGAAAAAGACAAATACCACATGATCTCACTTATATACATACGGAATATAATGAACATAACAGTCTGAGGAATACAGTAGACCCAGAAACATGGAAGTAGGGCACAGACTGACATCCCTCAGAAGAGGGGGTGGCGTGGGAAGAGATAAACCGCAGAACTTATATGTATGTATGCCTAACCAATGGACATGGACAACAAAGCCGGGGACTGGGCGGGGGGGGATGGGGTGGGGGGTGTCAATGGGGTAAAAAAAGAGAAACATCTGTAACAAAAAAAATAAAAAATTAAAAAATAAAAATAAAGGAAAAAAAGAAAGAAAGTGAACAGAGAACCCACAGAATGAAAGAAAATATTTGCAAATTTGTTTATCTGCTAAAGGACTGGTATCCAGAAGCCAGACACAAAAGGTCACATATTGTATGATTCCACTGATAGGAAATGTTCAGACCAGGGAAATCAGTAGGGACAGAAAGTAGATTTGTGGTTACCTAGAGCTGAAGATGGAGGGTTTGGGGAGAAATGGGGTGCATGATATATTCTTGGCTTAATGGAAATGTTCCACAATTTTTGTGACAGATGCATAGCTCCGTAAATATACTAGAAACCAGTGAACTGTATAAATGGGTGATCTATATGGTATATAAATTGTATCTCAGTAAAAGTTTTAAAAAATCAATAACTTGTATGATAAAAAACACCAAAAGCAAAGACAGGTGACAACATACATGCTGGAAATAAATTTGCAGTTCACATCACAGACAAAGCCTTTTTTCCTTAATTTATAACAAACCCCTGGAATTCCATAAGAAAAATAGTAACAGCTCAAAAAAAAAATGAACAGAAGATATGAAAAGAAAATATTATAAATGTGCTTATGAACCATGAAAGGGTTTGCAACACAAAAGTATTTTTTTACTTTGATGATGTCCAATAATAGACATGTGCACACGCACACACACACACACAACTTATTTGTTTTTATTTATTTGTTGTTGTTGTTGTTTGGGATTTTATATCATATCTAAGAAAGCTTTGCCTAACCCAAGGTCACAATGATTCACTTCATGTTTTAGCTCTTACATTTCATTCTATGATGCATTTTCAATTCATTTCTGTGCATGGTATAATGAAGGGAGAAGTTACTGTGTATGTAGCCAAATTTAACAAACTTTTATTATATGTCTTCTGAATTTTCATAGTTAGAAAAGGCTTCTGCACTCCAAGATTATAAAGAAATTCTATGGTTTCCTAGGGTACATCGTGGTTTTCCCTTTTTACATTTATTTATTTTATTATTTCTTATTTTTTATTTTATTTATTTATCTTTGTTAGGGATGTTTCTCCTTTTTCCCCCATTGACACCCTCCTCCCCCTCCCTCCCCGCCCTGTCCCCAGCTTTGTTGTCCATGTCCATTGGTTATGCATACATGCATATAAGTTCCGTGGTTTATCTTCCCCCCCACCCCGTCTTCTGGGAATTGTCAAATCTTTGACTCCTTTATAATATATCCCGGTACACAGTGTGAGATACAAATCCAACTTTTTTTTCTCACCATGGCTACCCAGTCGTCCATCTTTATTTATTAAACAGTCTATCTTTTTCCATTGATTTGAGGTGCCACCTTTATCATATATTAAAAAACACTTTTAAACAGTATAATAAAAATAAAATAAACTACAAATGAAAGAGTAAATGTACAAAAATAGATAAAGAAATAAGACTCTGAAAACAAATGGGCCTCATGCTATCATTTTGGGTAGAAGCAGCTCCTTCACAACTTCCCCAATTTTGTTTCCATGGTTACTGGTTTATTTAGGTTTACTCTATCTTCTGAAATTAGTATTAACCATTTGCATTTTTCCAGAAAATCGCCCATCTAAGTTTTCAAATGTATTGCAAGAGAGTTATACAAAGTACTTCTAATCACTTTTAAAAATGTCTTCATATTTGTAGTTTTGCTCATTTTCTCGTGTAAGACCATATTTTTACATTTTATTCCTTTATATTCTTTTTTTTTTTTTTTTTTTTATCCTCACCCGAGGACATTTTTCCATTTTTTGTTCAGATAGAGTGGAAGGGAGAGAGAGGAAGAGAGAGAGAGAGAAACATCGATGTGAAGGGACACATCGAGTGGCTGCCACCCGCACGACCAACCAGGGCCGGGGACAAACTGCAACCGAGGTACATGCCCTTAGCGGGAACCGAACCCGGGTCTCTCCAGACCGCAGGCGGACGCTCTAACCGCTGAGCCAAACCGGCCAGGGCTCCTTTATATTCTTGATTAGGTTTATATATCTATTTTGTTTTCTTCTTCCAATAACACCTTCTTGTTTATATGTCAAGTTTACAGGCTTTTGGTTTGTAGTTCATTAATTTCTTGATTTTTAAAACATTATTGATTTCTTCTTTCAGTTGCCTTTAGTTTTATTCTTTTTCTAGATCATTAATTTGAAAGTTCAATTCACTTACTTTTATCTTCAGTTTTAAATTATTTTATTGAATTTATTGGGGTGACATTGGTTAATAAAATTATATAGGTTTCAGGTGTACAATTCTATAATACATCATTTGTATATTGTATTGTGTGTTCACCACTCCAAGTTCAGTCTCCTTTCATCACTATTTATCCCCCCCTTTACTCTCTGCTTCCCCCGATTCCCCTTTCCCTCTGGTAATCACCATACTATTATCTGTATCTATCAGGTTTTTTGTTTGTTTGTTTGTTTGTTTGTTTTGCTTAATCCCTTCAATTTGTTTACTTTTAAATCTCACTTGTTTTATCCAGTCATATCATCTTTATACCCACCTATGTGGTTTGAATAGTACAAATAAATTGTATTACTTATATAAAAATAAAAAGAGGGAGGAGAAAGGCAAAGAGAGAGAGAGAGATTACAAGAAGAAGACATTTCAGAAATAAAAAATAATTAATTAACCGGGTCCAGAACTGAGATGAAGCAAGAGGCATTCACTTTGGGTGTAAAATTTAAGACAATGCCAAAAAAAAAAAAAAAAAAAAAAATCCTCAATAATCAAGACACATGATATTTGATGCGGTATTTTGGAAAATGAAATTAGAAAACTGTGGCCTGCAGGCCGGTTGCCTACTTGTGTAAATAAAGTTTTATTGGAACCAGGGCCAGGATTAGGGTAAGGTGAATGAGGCAAGGTTTAGCAAGTACAGGAGTGGATCTCACCTTTCTAAACAGTCTTAATATTTTGTTCATCACAGCTTTTTGTAATAATTTTGATTTTTGAAAACATTGCACTAAAATGAGTTTTGATGACTGAGATTTTTGAGCACCCCTTAAATTTTACAACTGGAGTTGCTTTACTGTGCCTCACCCAAGACCTGTTCTTATAATTGACTCTTGGTGGCAGTATAATAACTTTTTTCTATTTCTTTACACTTCTCTGCATTTTCCAAAGTCTACACAATAAGCATGCACTACTTTGATCACCAGGAAAAAACTAATTTAAAAAAGATGTCAAGACTCACTCAATGATGTTCCGTGTGGTTTCACCAAGAGGCTTGCAGGAAATAAAAACTAGTGTGCGAATGGCCCTGCAGTTTCGAATAGCTTGAACCACCTGGTAATCTGAAGGCAGAAAGACATTGCTATTGATATAATTAAACTATCATAATCTGGGTTATCACAAACTTTCAACTTGCCAGCACCTAGGATTGGTGAGGAATAGAGGAGAAAATGGGTTCAGAGCCAGTCCACCAGGGGTACCCTTAACATGGTGTGGGAATGGGGCTAAGGCTGGAAGACATCACGGGAACACCCAACTAGTTCTGTAGCAGGAGAGCTATTCATCCTTACGCAGTCCTGCCCGGGCTGGGTTCACCACAGCAACAATTAACTGCTCATTTTCCTTTGACTTTAGCAGCTGTGGCAAAATCTTCTCTGCTCGACCAGCATAGAATTCACAGTTGGTGATGCCTACAGAAAAGAGGACCACATGACATAAATGAAAACTCCCGCCCAAGAGTGGGGTACAAGGAGCTTCAGCTTTATAGAAATGTACAGGGGCCCTGGCCGGTTTGGCTCAGCGGTTGGAGCATCAGCCTGTGGACCAGAGAGTCCAGGGTTCAGTTTCAGCTAGGGGCACGTACCAAAAAAAAAAAAGAAGAAGAAGAAATGTATAGGAGCTCTGGCCAGTTTGGCACCAGCCCATGGACCAAAGGGTTGTGGGTTCGATTTCCAGTCAAGGGAATATACCTGGGTTGCAGGCTCAATCCCTGGCCCTGGTCGGGGTCATGCAGGAGGCAACCAATCAATGTGTCTGGCACATCAATGTTTGTCTCTCTCCCTCCCTCCCTCCCTTCCACTCTCTCTAAAAATCAATGGAAAAATATCCTCAGGTGAGGATTAACCAAAAAAGAGGAGAGAGAGAGAGAGAAGGAGAAGGAAGGAAGGAAGGAAGGAAGGAAGGAAGGAAGGGAGGGAGGGAGGGAGGGAGGGAGGGAGGGAGGGAGGGAGGGGAGGGAGGGAGGGAGGGAGGGAGGAAGATAGATACAAGGAAGGAAGGAAGGAAGGAAGGAAGATAGATACAAGGAAGGAAGGAAGGAAGGAAGGAAGGAAGGAAGGAAGGAAGGAAGGAAGGAAGGAAGGAAGGAAGGGAGATAGATACAGGAGCCATGGCTCTGCCATCTTCCTTTAGATCTAGCATACCTCTGAATAAGAAAGAAAGAAAGAAAACAAAAAACAAAACAAAAAACAAAAAAAACGCTTTGAACCTGCTTCATTTTCCAACGTGCTCTCTCTTGCAATATCTCAGTAGACCTTTCGGCTTAAGAGGCTAGACAATGTTATTTTACAGCTTCTTGACACAATACATACATTCTGATACCAAAAAGAGAAACTTGACTTTTATTCAAGTCCTCTTTCTGTTATTGAAGGTAGGGGGAACAAAGGGATCTGTTTTCTATGTTGCAGTTTGGCACAGCATTTTGTTCAAAGAAAAGGTTCTGTTGCTAGAAATAGTTTAAAACCTATTGTATTATGCTCTGATGAATCTCATGTCAAGAGGCTCTTTTATATTATCCAAAGTTTTGCTAAGTTTCCTTGCTATCATTTAGGCTTACTTCTTCCCTCAGGCTCTGCTTCTGGATAGAAAAAAAAAAAAAAAAAAAAAGATTAGCTATTGGGATCTCTTTCAGAAAACCATCAGGACCCAACTCTGACCACTCCAGAACACCCTCCCCTCCTTTTCATAGGTCAATGATACAGTAGATGTCCTTTCCCACACAACCCTTTTCATTGCACAGAAAAAAACTGCAGCTCTTCATTTCTCCCCCGACTGTGAGCAGCATACCATTGAAGGCTGCAGTCCACCTGGCGTCTTCTATGGCCTGCTCCACCAACTCAATCCCAAGGACCTGAGAGGTATACTGAGCCAGAGAGAGGCCAATCACACCTGGGGAAGTAAGAGAATGAGAGCAGGGTATTTTAGGGTTTTAGACCAATGAGGTTATGCCTGCACCACTACTACCACCTTCCCACCCAGGACCTTAGGTGCTGGGTAAATGGAGTTTGGGAGCTAAGCAGCATGTAGATTCGACCCTGTGCTGCCACTTGCCAGTTCCACAGCAGATGTCAAGGAGGATGGTGTTAGAATTCACTCCACTCAGCTTCCCCACAGTCCGATACAGCATCTCTGCACCAGCAGTGTTAATCTGGAAAAAGGCATCTGGAGAGATGCGGATCTTCAAGCCCAAGAGCTCTTCAAAGATGTGGGGTTCCCCAAACAGGAGCTGGTAGGGGGACTGCTGATGGCTGCAACGGGTCCTGGTGCTGGAAAATAATAAAAGAAGAAAGCATCTTGGAATGTCAAGCCATTCTATCTCTAGTGATTAGTTGGAAGGGGAGGCCCCAGCATCTCATCTAGGAGACACAGCCACCAAAGCATGGCCCTGAAAGCTCTGTAGGAGTTCCCGTCTGAAAGGATGGAAGTATATGCATGCAGACACTCTCTCATTTACAGGTGGCCTGGGTTCCTGGACCTCAGTGGTATACGAGGGCCTATACCACTTAGCCCAGATCCTCCATAAGCAGCAGCCCTGCCTCAGCAATCCATACCCAGACTATGGCAAGCCACCCACCTTGTGCTTGCTGTTTGGCTGTCCCAGATTTACCTTTCCTGGAAGTAAAGTGATGTCAAGTCACAAACTGCTCCTGGCCCTTTGATGAAAAACTCCTTTATAGACTCCTTCTGAACACAGAGCTCCTCCTGCCCAGACCACAAAATCAGGAATCAAGCAAAGACTCATCTCTAATAAGTTTTTGCTCCTAGCTCTACAGTCATCAGCCCACCTGATACAAGAAGGCACATTTCTCAAGTCCTATTATAAATAACACTTAGCATAAAGCAATGTAATATAAGACAAAACATAAGTGATTTTCACATCTCAGTAGAAGCATTGCTTTCTGTATTGGCTTTTGACAAATCCTATAAAATAGATACACACTTTCTCTAGTCTGAGCTCCTTTAATAGTTCTCTAAAGAAAGTGTGAATTATTGTAAACAGGAGCCAAACTAAACTTTTGTCCCATCACGAAGAAGCAATAACCTTTCAATTCCCTTCATACTTCTCACTTCATACATCCCAATCACTCACACAAACACCACCTCAGAGGACACAAGCGCTAGGAGAAAGAAAAGTGCTAGGAAGAGAATGAGTATAACTAAATTCTTTCTTTGAGTTTGGAATATTTAAGAATTCTTGGTCACTACAGAGAGCCTAACTATTAGCTTGCCACAAGGATATATCATCATAAACTATGTTGGAGCTATAGAGTTAAAAAAGCCAGGAATCAAACACTTGGGTTCAAGCCCTAGCTTGGCTATTTCCTGGCTTTTTAACCTTGGGTACTTCTATGCCTCCATTTGCCCATCTGTGAAATGAGGATGAAAATACCTCTCCTCCCATCTACTTCACAAGTATAGGAATGGTTTAATCTATTAATGTTGGAAAGCTCCTAGTGCATTACAAATGTAAAGTATTGTCTGGGTTATGAAATTCTGACTATATTCTAGCTTATATTAAATTGGTTTTTGGATTTAGTAGAGCACCTACTAACTTCCATGGGCAAAGTTCTTATAAAAATACTTAGGGGTCCTGACATGATAATTAACCTGGTAACCTGGCCTCAGTCTCTGTGGTGTGATCATGTCATCAGCACAGTTAAAGAGTATCCTTGTCATCTCCTTCTCCTCACCCCTAATCCCTCTTCCCATTTCTGCTATGTGCCCTGAAACTTCCAAAAACCAATATCAGCATAGTAATAGTAGGGGGTTCCTACAGAAGCTGCCTCATATTATCCTGTAAGTCTCACCTGCCTTAATTCCTGGGGATGGAAAGTAACAATGGCCATTGTGTGTCCTTGGCTATTGGTGCGGACTATGAGCTCACGCCAGTGTCCACCTTCATGAAACAGAAGGCAGGGCTCCATTGCAGACTGTCGAAGAAATATTTCATAATACTAGGAAGAAAACAGTATTATTACACAGGCAAAACTAACAAGTTTCACAGCTGATTATTCATGCTGGGTGATTGCTATGGGCTATATTATACTCTCCCCAAATTCATATATTGAAGCCCTAACCCCCAATACCTCAGAATGTGACTGTATTGAAGATAAGGTCTCTAAAGTGAATGATTAAGTTAAATAAGGTCATTAGGGTGGGCCCTAATATAATCTGACTGGTATCCTCATAAGACAAAAATTTGGACACACAAAGATACAACAGGATGCACACACAGAGGAAAGATCATGTGAAAAAAACAGTAAGAGGGCTACCTACAAGCCAAGGGGAGACGCCTCCGAAGAAACCAACTTGCCAGCATCTTGATCTTGGACGCTGCCTTTAGAACTGAGAGAAAATAGCCCTGGCTGGTTTGGCTCAGCGGTTAAGAGCGTTGGTCCACGGACCAGAGAGACCCGGGTTCGGTTCCTGCTAAGGGCACGTACCTGGGTTGCAGTTTGTCCCCAGCCCTGGTTGGGGTCGTGTAGGTGGCAGCCAATGTGTCTCTCTCACATCGATGTTTCTGTCTCTCTCTTCCCCCCCCCTCCCTCCCACTCTATCTGAAGATAAATGTAAAAAATATCTTTGGGTGAGGATCAAAGAAAAAAAATGGTCCAGAACTGAGAGAAAATAAATTTTGGCTGTTTAAGTCATGTAGTCTGTGGTATTTTATTATGGAAGCCCTGGCCAACTAATACAGTGATATAAGAAACATGATCCCTGCCCTTTCACCTTCCAGAGGGACACAATCCATTGTACTCCAAACAGTAAGCTGTATGAAGGCTTAGAGTTGTATCCTTAGTCTGGCACATGATAGTTGCTCAAGTCCAGTTGGTGTGACTCAGTGGATCAAGCGTCGTCCTGTGGACTGAGAGGTCCTGGTTCAATTCCCGGTCAGGGCATATGCCAGGGTTGTGGGCTCGATCCTCAGTGAGGGGTGTGCAAAAGACAAGCCCATCGATGTGTCTCTCTCACATTGATGTTTCTATCTCTCTCTCCCTTTTTCTCTCTCTCTAAAAAATCGATAAAAACATATTACAAAAATGATAGTTGCTTAATAATTGTTATTGAAAGAAGGCATGAATGAACAGGAAAGGTATTTTACTTGTATCTACAATCTCAGGTTATTCTATATACATTCCATTTCAAGTATATACATACTTAATCACTTCTGCGGTGATTTCACATAAATGCAATATGATATGCCTAACTATAGTGAGCATATTTTTTCAAATTTTGAGGTTGGTGATTTAAAGAAAAATTGATTCAATTGTTGTTTACTGGCTGGTGGGCAAAGAATGTTTTTTGGAAGCAAGATTCAAATGTCACTGAGGTCCTAGAAGGATGGGAAATTGAAAAATTGAGTCAGACCTGGAAGATAATGGGTAAATATTAAATACAGCCTCTCCATGATATGAGCTCAGGCCTCAGTATGTTCATTTATCAGATAGAGACTGAGACTCCTATTCTTTCTTATATGGAAATGCCTAAGTATTAATAGTGACGACACCTATAATCATATTGCAATATACAAATGTATCAAATCAACATATTGTGCACCTTAAATTTATACAATGTCATACCATTTATATCTCAATAAAAATAAATCTTAAAAAAAGGATGAAGGGGCCGTCTGGTTAAAGTAAAATAATATCCCTCCTAAAAATCCTACTAAAATGACATAAAGAAATAAAAAAGACATAAGCTTATTTAAGCTCTTTGCTCCACCAATTCTCCCTTCTTTCTCTCCTGCACCATCATTTTCCTCCCTCGCTACTGGATCAGTCCCATCGATATTCAAGCATGCTCCTACTCACCCATCTTCAAAAAGAAAGGGGATGGGTGAAAAAGATAAAGTGATTAAAAAGTGAAAATTGCCAATTCTAAAATTAGTCATGGGGATGTAAAGTATAGCACGAGGAATATAGTAAATAACACTAATAAGTTTGTATGGTATCAAGTGGGTAGTAGACTCCAGAGGGATCACTTCATAAATTATATAAATATCTAATCACTATGCTGTACCCCTGAAAGTAATATAATATTGCATATCGACTGTAACTGAATTTTTTTTTTTTAATTTTAAGGCGTGAACCTTCCTGACCCACTTTCCCCACCAGCTACTCTTCCATTTCTCTGTTCCTCTTTGTAGAAAAACTTTTCAAAAAACTGTATATAGCCCCGGCCAGTTTAGCTCAGAGGTCAGAGCATGGGCCTGCGGTCCAGAGAGACCCAGGTTCGGTTCCTGCTAAGGGCACGTACCTCGGTTGCAGTTTGTCCCTGGCCCTGGATGGGTCGTGCAGGTGGCAACCACTCCATGTGTCCCTTTCACATCAACGTTTCTCTCTCTCTCTCTCTCTCTTCCTCTCTCTCCCTCCTACTCTATTTGAAAAAAAAAAAAATAGAAAATTGTCCTCAGGGGAGGATTAAAAAAAAAACAAAACTGTATATACTGTTGACCCTTGAACAACGTCTGTTTGAACTGCATGGGTCCACTTATATATGAATTTTTTTTCAATAAATATGTACAGTACTGTATATGCATTTTCTCTTCCTTATGGTTTTCTTAACATTTTCTTTTTCTAAAGTATTCTATTTATTTTTGTGACAGATGTTTTTTTTCTCCCATTGACACCCTACTCCCACTCCCTCCCTGACCTATCCCCAGCTTTGTTGTCCAGGTCCATTGGTTATGCATACATGCATAAAAATTCTGTGGTTTATCTCTCCCCACCCACCTCCTCTTCTGGAGATTGTCAGTCTATACCCTACTTCTACGTCTCTGGGACTACTCTGTTCTTCAGGCTGTTCTGTTCATTATATTCCACAAATAAGTGAGATCATGATATTTGTCTTTCTCTGCTTGGCTTGTTTCGCTTAGGATAACACTTTCCAGGTCCCTCCATGTCATCTCAAAGGATAAGAGATCTTTCTTACAGCTGCATAGTACTCCATTGTGTATATGTACCACTGCATTTTTACCCACTTGGCTGTTTCCAGATCATAGCAATTGTAAATAGAGCTGCTATGAACATAGGGATACATATATTCTTTTTGATTGATGTTTCAGGCTTCTTAGCATATATTCCTAGAAGTGGGATCACTGGGTCAAATGACAGTTCAATTTTTAATTTTTTTGAGGTAACACCATAGTGTTTCCCATAGTGGCTCCACCAGTCTGCATTCCCATCAGCAGTATACCAGAGTCCCCTTTTCTCCACACCCTCGCCAACACTTGTTGTTTGATGATTTCTTGATAGCGGCCATTCTGACAGGTGTGAGGTGATACCTCATTGTTGTTTCAATTTGCATCTCTCTGATGGTTAGTGATGTTGAGCATTTCTTCATGTATCTCTTAGCCATTTATATGTCCTGTTTGGAGAGGTGTCTATTTAGTTCCTCTGCCCACTTTTTAATTGGGTTCTTTGTCTTCCTTTTGTTGAGTTGTATGAGCACTCTATATATTTTGGAAATTAACCCCTTATCTGATGTATCATTGGCAATGATGCTCTCCCATACAGTGGGTTGCCTTTCCATTTTGATGCTTGTTTCTTTTACTGTGCAGAAGGTTTTTAGTTTGATGTAGTCCCATGTGTTCAATTTTTCCTTTGTTTCTGTTGCCTTAGGTGATGTATCAGTGAAAATTCTACTGCGTTTGATGTCTGAAATTTTGTTGCCTACATTTTCTTCTAGGATTTTTATGGATTCATGAGTCACACTTAAGTGTTTTATCCATTTTGAGTTTATTCTTGTGTAAGGTGTAAGTTGATGGTCTAGTTTCATTTTTTTGCATATAGCTGTTCAATTTTCCCAACACCATTTATTAAAGAGGCTGCCTTTACTCCACTGTATGCTCTTGCCACCTTTGTCAAATATTAATTGAGCATATTGCCTTGGGTCCATTTCTGGGTTCTCTGTTCTGTTCCACTGGTCTATATGCCTGTTCTTGTGCCAGTACCAGGCTGTTTTGATTACAGTAGCTTTGTAGTATAACTTGATATCCAGTATTGCGATCCTGCCCACTTTGTCCTTCTTTTTCAAGATTGCTGTGGCTATTTGGGGTCTTTTTGGTTCCATATGAACTTCAGAAGTATTTGTTCTAGTTCTGTGAAGTATGTCGTTGGTTTTTTGATGGGGATTGCATTGAATGTATAGATTGCTTTGGGTAGTATGGACATTTTAATGATGTTAATTCTTCCAATCCATGAACAAGGTATGTGCTTCCACTTTTTTATATCTTCCTCTATTTCTTTTTTCAATGTCCTGTAGTTTTCTGCAAATAGGTCCTTGACTTCTTTGGTTAAGTTTATTCCTCGGTATCTTAAATGTTTTGCTGTGATGGTAAATGGGATTGTTTTTTTAGTTTCTCTTTCTGTGAGTTCATCATTGGTGTATAAGAATGCTGTCAATTTCTTGACATTAATTTTGTATCCTGCTACTTTGCCAAATTCATTTATTAAGTCTAGTAGATTTCTGATGGAGTCTTTAGGGTTTTCTGTGTATAATATTATGTCATCTGCGAATAATGACAGTTTCACTTCCTCCTTTCCAATTTGCATCCCTTTTATTTTTTCTTCATGTCTGGTTGACATGGCTAAGACCTCCAGTTTAAGTACTCTATTATAAGAATACAGTATATAATACATATATAAAATATGTGTTAATTGACTTTATCTCATCAGTAACGCCTATGGTCAACAGTAGGCTACTGGTAGTTAAGTTTTGGGAGAGTCAAAAGTTATATGCAGCCCTGATTGAAATGGCTCAGCGATTAGAGCATTGGCCTGCAGACTGAAGGGTATGGATTCAAGTTTCAGTCAAGGGCACGTACCTGGGTTGCAGGTTCAATCCCTGGTCAGGATTGTGCAGGAAGCAACCAATTGATGTATCTCTTTCACACTGATGTTTCTCCCTCTCTCTCTCTCTCCCTCCCTCCCTTCCACTCTAGCTGAAAATC